TTGTCACTACATTCATTTGCAGAGACTGGAAAGCAGAGGAATATAAATATTAAGTTGGAAGTACAGGAGGAAACTTTTTTTCTGTGTACATTAAAAAAAGAATTGTACATGTTCTGTAATGATTATAGCAGATCAATCCTTTGTTTTCTCTGCTAATATACTGCCTTCTCTAATCATTCCACTAACCTGAGTTTTCTCTAACCCGTGACACCAAAAGGACATTCCCATCTCAGTGCTGTAGATGTGCCACTCAAGGACATGGTTTAGTGGTAGACGTGGCAGTGTTGGGTTAACAGTTGAGCTTCATGATCTGAGAGGTCTTTTCTAATCTAAATGATTCTATAAATAAATGTATGATAAATGTTTTACAAGATACTATCTTTAATTCCTGGTCATCTGTATGACAAAGTTTGGAACATTAACTCACATGTGATAAGGACAGATCCCATATTGTGTTAAAAAGAGCAGGCACATGAAAAAAGAGTATGCACATATTAAAAAGAGCATGCACATGAAATCCAAATCGGGCCAATGAGAGCCTTGTAACAAACAACTTCTAGTAGAATGGACAAATGCATGCAATTTACTTCAAGTTCTTACAAATACTTACAGAAGCATATTTAGCTAAGGTTTATGTGATTTATGCACATTAAATAAACCAGAAATTCTTTAATAGCAGTAGGAAGAGAATATCAGTGTTACTGTGTCCAGCTGTGATGAGACTGCTGCTGAAATACTTCGTGTATTCCTGGGACTCATCATAATAAACAATGTTTTTTAAAAAATTATTTTCAGAGTTGAAGAGTAGAGCTGTAAGAATTGGGAATATAGCTTGTAATTCAGATAAATTACTTAAAAAGGCACTTTCTGTACCTAAATCAGGGACAAAAATGTTGATAATTGGTTGCTTTACAATCAGAATTAACATTTAAAAAGATCCAGTGGCTACCGTGTTCAGGAAAGGCATGTGCTTTGTAAGCATTTAATTAGGTACAGAAATTAAGAATTAGGTATTCTTGGTAAGAATATTCTGTGTAATTTTTTTTTAATAAAAGCAAATATATGACCTTGCTGGAATGTTTTTAGAATATTCTTTATGTTAATAAATGTTTATGGGAAATAACAAACTTCATCCATCTTGCTTAATACACTTTTCCATAGAAAATCTTGTATGACCAAGATTAAGTGTTTGAGTCCATGATTATTTTAGCATAATTACTATTGCAAATACCATGGCAGTTGTATGAAGTCTAGGTAACAATTTCACCAGAAAGAGGATGTAAATCATTATAATGATTTTAGAGACTTTATGGATCCAAACAATTTCGTTTGTTCCCCACTTTCATCTTTTACTGTTGGTCATTCCTCGTACACAGGGAAAAAAGCCGAGAGGATCACAGAACAGCCAAAGCAAACCTCCTGTGTGACGTGAATGCAAGACTTAAAGATATCTTACCTGGTCTCTCTGATTTCTCGAAAGATCCGAGGTATCCCGTGCTTTATGGTGGCAAACGGCAGCGTGTCCAGCAGCAGGGGCAGAGGCTGCTGTGTGTGTGCTGAGCACAGGAGGCTCCCAAGGCAGCAGCCCCGTTCCGGCAGCCCTTCCCTCCCGGAGCAGCCCGGGCTGCGCTCCACAGGGTCCCTGCAGCAGCTGCCCGACCTCAGCTGGGCTCAGCCCTCACTGCTGCTCACTGGGACACTGCTGCTGCAGGAGACTGCAACAAACCTGGGAAAAGCAGGGAACAGAGGCAAAATTAGGGAGAAGGAAACTCCCCTTTAAGAATCCAAGTAATCTACAATAATGCTCAGACCTGACAATTAGCTGCATCTTTCATCCACAGACCTTTAAAATACTTAATGAAGAAGGGGAAGTACCTAAAATTCAGTCTCTTCTTTCCACGCTGTGCTTTGTATAGCAACGCAAATTTGCAAAGTCCAAGAGGAAAGATACAACTTTTTGAAATACAAAACAAACAGTGATTTCTGTGACATCCAAAATAATTAATCTAGCTTCCTCCTGAGTAGTTCATTTATATTCCAATTGAGTTCTTTCATTCTGTCATGGTGTGACATTTACATGGGTTTGTTATTTTATTATCATTTATATATATACTTGATTTTTAAATGCATCTTTTTGGCACTACCTTGGTCGAAATTTAAAAATAGAAAAGTAGGTCAAGGTAAAAAAACGAGTGTTGTGACATAGTACACAGGATATAACATCTGCAAGTGTGAATAACAAGAAGATAAAGTTGACCTGTGCAACAACTTCCAGTAATTTAAATATGAGAGTAAAGGGAGTTTCTATAGCCAAGTTATCTGGCTTCTCTCTCTAGTGTTTTTATTTCTTGTTTGTGGTTTTAGGGATTTTTTTTTTTTAAAGGGGAGGTCTGGTGTGGATTGGAGAGCTGGATTTGCTAAGAGTGGCTTTTGGGGTCTATCCTGATACTAGGCAGGATCCAAATATCAGAGAGATGTTAAATATAATAAGACAGACTGCTACCTCTCAAATTTATAGGAAGTGTCCATGTTTCAAAATAGGTGGAGCCTGTGCCTCCACACAACAACAGAACAACATAATTTGGTTTCCAGTTTTCAATTCAGAATGCAGTTCCATTCTCAAACAGCTAACTACAGTTAAAATAAGCAAAATTTTATCTTCACAGGTTTTCTAAATTAAAGAATGGATATGAGATAGACATCTAACCTGAAAATCAGCACTGTTCAGAGATAATAGTAATATCCGAGTTTTACTCCAGAGTAAAACAATTAGCAAACAAAAACATAGTATAGAATTTCATAAAGCAGTCAGGGGTTTTTGTGTCTTTGGCTTTTAGTCTCTGCTGCAGAAGGAGAGATGGATGAGCCAGGATGTTGTGTGAAGAATGGAGAAGTTCCAAGGGTTTAGACTTGATTAAAGCAGCTCAGCAAAGTCAGGATCTCTTTAGTCTCTTGTGACCCAGGGTTTTCCATTAAAGCAAAGAGGTTCCTGTGCAGAAGTCATTAAGGGTTTTTTTTTTTTAATAACTTCTGTAAGGATTTCCCTTCTGTGCATTATGTGTCATAAATCTTCATTCATTTCACTTGAAGAGTAAAGCACAATGCATTTAAGAATTGAAATTACTGCTACTTCTCTGTCTTTGAGCTCATTCCTGGACTTTTATGCAGTTCATGCCCAATCACATACATTTATAGGAATATCAGGATCTCTTTGCTATGCTGTGCAGCAGTATATTTGCGTGAATTCTTCCCATCCAGCGAGATCCTCCCAGTGCAAAAGCATGCAGTTTATTCCACAAATACATTGTTTCCCTAATTCCTGTTGTGATTTCCTTTATATTTCTGCATGCCTACTACATGCTTCTGTTTCACAGAAAAAACCCTACCTGTCAGCACTGGAATCTCTTTTCCATTTTGGCAGTTGCATCTGGCAGCTCAGTAAGGCCTTGGGAGCTGCTGCAGGTGGGTTTGTCTCAGGTGGTGGTGTGCTCACACCGTGCTGATCCCTGTGCTGTCTTCCTCCCTTGCAGCCCCACTGTAGCCAAGTCTCAGCCCTACTGGCCATTAACAGACACATGGAGCATATTCCTATTGGGAAACTGGCACAGAGAGACACAGATAATCAGAGTTGGAGAAATAGTTTTGGAGGAAAAGTAAGTATGCTTAAATTGTTTTCTTTGGCAGATAAATTGACACAGTCCTCAAGTGTTTTGATATATGTTAATTCATTGACAGAACAAACAGTAAGTGGCATAATACAGTCCAGGACATGGATCAGTTGGCCAAGATAAACACATACTTACATAACTGTTCTTTGCATTATCATAAACCTGACATTTTTGTAAAAGATTTGTTTTTAATAAAAATAATTTTCACAGGATCACTAAGTTGGAAGAGATCTTCAAGACAGAGTCGAAGGTGCCTGTATCATATTTGCCTGCTTTCACTGCTAATCTAAGTGGGGTTTATACTTGACTTTGCATCATGTACAGCACATGTGTGATGGTTTGACAGCACTCAAACACAGTTATAATCTCTCTCATGGTTTACTCTTAGAACTGAAGAAGACTTGCATCTGTAAGGGATACAAGGCAAATTGTATAAATTTCAAACCCCCAAAATGCAAACAGGATTTGTTTAGGGTTTTTTTAATCTCTATTTAGAGGTAGTTGACATTTTACATAGCAGAAATTAAATGTACTTAAATCTCAGATTTATTTTTTAACTTTAGGAACAGATACATTCAAATTTTTAAAATCCATTCAATGGGCATAAAATCCAATATATTATAAAAGGAAAAGTACAATTTCTTTTTGAGATTTTACAAAAAGCGATTTTTAATTTAAAACTTTCTGGATTACATCTAGTCCCAGTAATTCAAATTCAGAAGTGCCATGATGGTTTATAAAATGGACAGAAAAGAATGATGAGCATAAAGAGTGAAGATGGCAAAGGAAGTTGAACAGAGTGGATTGAGAGAAGTGTGAATCAGCCAAGCTAAAAGACTTTATTCACATGTTAATAATGCTCAAGGTGCTTCTGAATTGATAGTTATGTACAAACATAAAATCTTTAATTTTTTTTTTTACTTTATCACCAAGGTGGCCGAGGTGCACAGCACTGCTAAAGTGTTTTGCTTATTCTGTTAGCAGTTTTAGGAAATGTATTGAGAGTCGGAAGATTGGGCGGTCTTCCCATACTCAAGGCAGCCCAAATCACCGGGGAAGTTGTGATTCATTCACTTGGACTCTGCGTGTGAGGAGCACATCCTTCTTAAGCGATGCCACCTCGGCACCTGCTCGGTGTCCTGCTGAAAGGCAGCAAGTGTTTCACAGCTCTGCAAAGGCCGTGCCTGTGGCAGCGAGGCCGTTTCCCCCCGCGGGGCCTTTCCGCCGCCGCCGCCGCCGGGCCCGGCGCTCCCCACGCCGCGGGCGGAGCTGCGCTGCCGCCGCCGGACGGTGGCGCTGCCGCCCGCGCGGCCGCCGCGTCCCCGCCCCTCCGCCATGGCCGATGTGGAGGACGGGGACGAGCCCGGAGCCCCCCACTCGCTGCCGGGCTCCGCGGGCTCCAAGGCGGGCGCACCCGACAAGATGTTCTCGCTGAAGAAGTGGAATGCGGTGGCCATGTGGAGCTGGGACGTGGAGTGCGACACCTGCGCCATTTGCCGCGTGCAGGTCATGGGTAAGCGCCGGCCGGGCCGCCATGGCCGCGGAGCCGGGCCTGGGGCCGTGCCCGCCGCCCTGGGCACGGCGGGCGCAGGGCAGAGACGCGGTTTCCGGCAGAAGGGGGGGCTGATCCCTCCCGCCTCCGCTTCCTCCTCCGCGCCTTCCCGGAGGAGGAGAAGGAGGAGGGCCGGGGGGCTGGGCCGCCGTGCTCTGAGCCCACACGCGGCCCCGTCGGGCAGCGAGTGTCCCCTGCCCTGCCCGGCCCGGCCCGGCCCGGCCGCGCTCCCTGCGCCGGCCCCGCCGCACGCACGGCCTGGGCCCCTCAGCGCTGCTCGGTGAGCGGCCCCGTCCCGGGCACTGTCGCCTTCGTCGTGAGGGCTGGTGCTCGTCTGCGGGCAAATCCCGCAAACATTGACTTAGAGCCGAGCTGAACCGAGTGCTGCATGCGTGGGGCTGCTGTTATGGGGTGGATTTTGTTAAGGGTTTTTGTTCAGGTGCTTTTTACGAGGCAGTTACGGATGAACATATAAATTAATTTTTCAAATCTGTTAAACTAGGGTGTCTGACACTACTTCACAAGCGTGATTACTGGTGCAGTTTTACACACATAGACTGAGAAGTCTGTTGAGTAAGGGGTTAATTTACTTGGTTTTGAAATCCAGAGACTCTTTGAAAGCACCGTCATTGTTGACGCATATTGCTGTTTTCTGGCATTTTTGTTAAATAGGATATTTATCTTGGTTCTTTGAAAACAGTTTAAATGCCTCCTTTACTGTTTGTGCGTATCCAATTTTTACTATTGGGCTGAGTCATCCTAGGTGTAAGTGTCCTCTCAGCTGGGTGTGCAACACTTCGGCAGGACCAAAGACCCACGGTTCGGTTCAGAACCCCTTGCTTTTGTAAGGCCAGGAACCAAGATACTGAAAATGAAATCAGGATTTGGTTTAACAGAAATGAGACAAAATGAGCGATTCTGTCATTTCTCATAAATGTTTTTGCTGGGAGCCTTCTATAGAATGGAGGAGGCAAAAGGGTGTACTAGAGGAAAAAAGATGCAGCATAGACTGGAATGGTGGGAGATTGATCTTTTACATAAGCATGTTTTGAAGATGATTTGCTTTTTTATGGTAAACAGAGACCACTCTGGAAATACGAAATTGGCTTCCTTTGCCATGTACCCAGAGCTCTTATAAATTAAAAAAAAAAAAAAAAAAAGTCGTATTTTTTCATAGCTAGACCAAGGGAGTAATTTTAATCTGAAACTTAAAAAAAAAAATCTGAAAAAATCTAGTAACCATTTTTTGGGAACAAACCACATTGTTAGAATGTGAAACTTGATCATTGCTGACTTCAGTTTAGCAATTTTGCATTGACCCTGCCAGAGCGGGTCTGGCTCCTGTAGAGCCACTGCGTCTGCAGTAACCGTAGGTGGGAGGCAGTGCCAGACTGAGACTGGCACTTGCTGAAAGTTCGTTTATTTGACTTTTGCAGGGAAGGAGGTGTTAGCTGTCTCCATTTTCTACTGGTTTAACTCCTTGAACCAATGTGGTCTTAGATGCACAAGGGAAAGACGCAAAAATGCAGGTGTTAGCTGAGAAGCACAGGATTGCAGCTGGACTTAGCCTTTCAGACTGACCCCCTTGGGGTTATGCTGTAGGAGTGGGGACAGGTTATTTCGGTGTGGTGGCAGTGATTTCTGTCCTTGACTCTCTGTGCTACTTCTGACTGAAACTGCAACTGTAGTGCTCAATAGGACAGCTGATTTATTGTGACTTTCTGCTGTGACCCTAGATCACTGGGCTCCCACACACCATGATACAAATTGAAGCACTTCAGCTGAATCTTCCCAGCACCTGGGCTCTTAACTGCTGTTGAAATATGAATTATAGGATCAAACAACTGGAAAGTTTTGCTTTTGTCTCAGTGAGGAAAGGGCAACTGTTTTGGAGTTCTCTCCTCTTTGTTCTCTATTACCTGAAAAAAGGAGGAATGTCTGGGCAGATGAATCTAAAATAGAAGTACTGGCCCTATCCAGAGACAGCAAAAATACTCAAATCTAAATTCCTGTAGCACATTATGCTTTTGTCCTATGGGAGAATATGGTCCAACTCGTGACATGTAAGCCGGATCCAACCTGCAGGACACTTGATTTTTCTTTGGCGAAGATGAAGATGTGTTTGCTCACATAATGGTTGAACACTTTCTCTAGTGCACGTCTGTGTGGGGCAGCCCATGTGAGGGCAAAGGTGTTTTTTCCCTGTATTGAATGGCACAGTGGGAAGCCTGGAAGTTGTCACTCTTGTATCTTACTGAGTCCTGGACCTGCCATCCAATCCTAAAGCCACAGACTGGAGTGCATAAAGATGATAAATATTTTTAATCAGCTATTGTTCCGTATTTATTAACATATATTATCAAATGTACCACTATTTTTGTGTGTGTGTGACTCCTGTGAAAATTAGATGCAGGTACTTGTTAAGGGAAGCTACTATAAAAAGTAATAGGTGGTGGGAGTTGTAAGAGATGCACAGCCTAAAAAATCAAAATTGTGAATGACTTCCTTAAAAGGAAATGCTGACATCTGAAAAACAAAGTCCTGTAATTAGGGTTTGGCTTTGTGCTTGCTCTGGTCTTAATATGCCTGAGTGCCTTGGCACAAATCTGTGGGCTTTTACATCTACAAAATGGAGAAGGCTTTTTTTCAGCAAAAGTTATGAAAATACCAAAGCAATGGAAAATAAACAAAACATGCTGGAGGGTTCAGAGTCCTTCTGATCTCTCTCAGATATATATTTCATTGTCATTTGCATAGTTTTATGATTTAATGGGGCTATTTAATGTTAGAAGGCTAAACTCGACATCAAAACTTGAGATTTTTACCTCTATAAATTTGTATTAGAGTTTATATTTTCCTCTGACAAACCTATTCTTAAGATGGAATCCTGAGAATCAAATTGAGTTTGTTCTTGTTTACTTTTAGATGCCTGTCTTAGATGTCAAGCTGAAAACAAACAAGAAGATTGTGTTGGTATGTAGTGACTTCATTCGCTTGTTTTTCAATTGAAGCTTCTCTCAGTATGGTGCATTTTAAAGTTTGAAGGGAATACTGATTTTATTAATGCTCAAAAGTAAACTGGTGTTTTGTTCTACATTGTATCATCTTTTTACATTAGTAATACTTTATGCTTTATTTTTGAGCACTAAAAAAATTAGTTTTCATGTCAGCTGTGCTGTAAAACAAAACAGCTTCCAATTTCCTGTCAGCACGTACACAACTAAGAGATTTAGGTTTCTTTCATTATGAGCATATTTGAGATCATAATGTACATTTTTGAAGTGGGTAGGAAAAAACTATTATTTTCTTCAGAGGTGCATGCCAGAAAACACAATGGTAGTACAAATAAAAATCCTCTATTCTGGAATAAATGTGTGTCTGAGTTAGAAAGGAGTATTTTTCCCACTCATAATTCAGAGATAATGGAGGCAATGGCTTGGTTGTTCACTTTTCATTTTCAAAAGTAGAATCACTTCAGTTTAAACATAATCATACTTTCAGTGCCAGTGTATGCCAAAGAAAGTCTTAATTCTGACTTTTTAAATTGGAAATAGTGAAAACTGTCTCAAAGAGTTTGCTTTAAACCTTTGTGACAACTTTTAAACCAGTGGTAAACCTTTCTGTGCTGTTGAGCTTTGTGTTTTGAAGTGTATTGTCTCAAAAAAACCCACTGAGGGTTTTGATGATTGTTTTAATGGGAATAGGGTTTCCTGTCCTCATATCTTAATTGGCTTGTGAAGTATCCTATTTAAGATAGAGAGGAAAAAGTATAATTTACAGCATTCCTTTGATTGGTACACTTGTGCCTTCTGTGATGAAAATGTGAGCTAATAAGGAAAAAAAGAAAAGTAACTACATTTTAAAATACTATTCAGGAGAAAATGGATAACAGATAACAATTTTTGTAATGTTGGAACAACTGTAGCCTGTGAATAGTGTAAAGTCCCATTTTAAGACTATATACTGTGCCTCCTTGCTATCTTACATTGTAGTTCAGACAGTGCATTTCATATGAGAATTTGGTGATATGCTGTGGTGTGATAGTGAGTCAGTAGTGCATTGGCTTTATTTTGGTACTGGGGAACATAAACGGAAAAACTTTAATAGTTGCACTTATTTCCTGGGCAGAACTGCTAAATATGTTTATATAGTCACAAAACCATGTCACTTTACACAAGAAGGTGAGAATATATGCATTTCCTTTTTTAATATTTGGAAGTAAGTAAAAGGCTTGATGATGGAACTGACTGTCATCAGGATGATCATCATTATCCATTCTCAGTGGATAAATCAGTGGTGACCTGTTCTGTCTCTAAAGGTCCCAATGGTTATAAATATTAGAGAGCCATAGTTTGAACGTTGCTGTAGGTGTTGATTGAACAGCTGAGTGTGACTGGAATATGTTCTTTCTTCTCTTTCAGTGGTTTGGGGAGAATGCAATCATTCCTTCCACAATTGCTGCATGTCCTTGTGGGTGAAACAGAATAATCGCTGTCCCCTCTGCCAGCAGGACTGGGTAGTCCAGAGAATAGGCAAATAAAAACTGGAAGGGTTTCTTTGTGTTGCACTTGTTGGAATGGTGTGTGTGTTATGCCCTATGCTCATGCAGAATGGAACGTGTCCCTCAGGACGTGACTCACTTGGTTTATCTGCTCCACGACCAGAGCGGGTTTGGTGCAGCTCTCTGGCTGCACAAGGTGCAGTCCTGGTCAGCTCACTGCAGGGGTTCCCCATTGGAAACAGGAGACACTACATCAACAAATGTATCTGCTATGATTAAAGTGTTTGTATCAGAGCACAGAAACTTAGTGGTGCAGATTATACCCTAAACACAGAGCATTTAATCTTTTTCCATTGATGAATGAATTAAATTGAAGGGGTCACCTTAGCTGGTCTGATACGCTGCATATTTTACTGTCAGGATAAAGAAAATGTTTCCTAAGTACTATTGTATGCAAAACCACAGTCAGTGTGTTTTTTAAGAAACTATTTTGGGTTTTAATCTAAAATGAGCAGTATGTAAAACATTCGCTGTGTGCTTTTTCCATCATGGTGTATTAAACATTTCTAATTTAGGTATTCTTTATGACTTTCATTTTGTTGTATCTCTAAGTCTGTTGCTCTGTTATATTCTGTACATGATTTCTACAAACATAATATTAAAATTTAACCACGTTAATATTTTTTTAATTTATATTTCTGTTAGTGATCATAAAGACATGTATTTGGTATCAGTTAACTAGAGGTGTAGACAATCTTATTGGTTAGCTGATAGGAAGCCAACAAAAGTGATAATTTAAATAACCCAAGGAAAAGAGGCACTAATTAAATCTAGGGACTAATGGTAAACTGTGATTTCATGAAAATTCAGTTAATAGAAATTTCTTTTCTTTTAGTGGTTCTAGTGTTTTGGAAGCATTTTTTCATTCTTCTTTGAATTTTTTCTTACAGCTGTTTAAAAGCTCATCTCTAACTTTGTCTTTTCTCTAAATATCCAAATTACTAGGAATCTGAACATAGGCTGTGGGATTTAAAAAATATATATAATGGAGAGGTAGAATTACTGCTTTAAATCTGTAACAAATTCAGACTTAATAAAATGGTTAATCAGCATGGGTGAAATTGAAGCAATATAATATGCATTGTTTACTTCAAAATTGTCATCTTTAATGTTTAATGTGTTTCTCAGTAGATGTATTTCTAAGAACATTAAAAGAAGTTTGTCTTCACTGTATAAAGTAGTTCCAATCTTTGTGTCATCAAGCATATTGCAGAGTTTACCATGGTTTTGTTTAATATTGTAATCTTGATTTTAAGATGTTTTAATTTTGAAATGTAGCTTCTTTTAATTACACACTGAGAAAAAAAATCCTGAGTCACTGTTACACTGTATCACATCAGTTGTTACTATGCCAGGTGATGTCTGTCATAAAACTGAAAACAAATGTAAAATATGTTAACAGTAGTAATGAAGTGCCTCTAGCATTTACATTGTTGTGGAGTATTTCTGCTTGTGTAAAAATATTCTCAAAATTTTTGCAAAAAAAGAAATCTGAGTGGATGTGAAAATAAATTTTAGCTGTCACAGTCAAACTGTATCTTATCTACCACCTGTTTTCTCTGTCCACATTTGGTCCCAGGCTCTGATAATGCTATCTAGTCCCATCAGAGGACTTTCTTCATTTTTCTTTGGTTTATAGGTGAATATGGAAAGTACTAAACCCTGCTTTTAGCTCATGTCATGTGCAAGGCAAGAGTAGCTGAGAATTACAGTTGTGGAAGAGTTTTTCCAGTATCAGCCCAAAGGGGTGTTGACACAAATGAGGTTTTAGGAAAGTTAATGTTGAAATCAAAGCAGCTGATATTTTTGTGTATCTATTTGAATATTATAAGTGTCTTGTTGACCAGTAATTGAGGTTCATCTAAAACATAAGGTAATGAATTTTAAGTCCTGCATATTTTCTCTGTGATTTAGAGATTACCCTAAGTCCCTAAGTTCTATGAGCTTTACACCAGAGAACTTCTCCAAATCATACCCTGACATGCCTGATTAGCATGGTTGTTAGTACATCCCTGTGTTCAGTTCTGTAATTGTTCACCTCTTGTACATGCAAAATAAATAATTTTTGCTTCTCACCCAAATGTACTATTTATGAGCAGGTAACTTAAATAGCACTTATCAACTACTAGATTAATGCTGATCTACTTGTCACCAGTGTTTAAAAAACACTGAGCAGATTTGCGTAAGTCAGCAAGCAAATCTCAAAAGTGACTGGAGTAATGAGTATATGTTGAGTGATCATATTGTTTGATTTTGCTTTTCATGAAATTATTTTAGAGAAAATGTAGGTTCCATAGAAAATGGGAAAGATTCTAATTAATTGAGTAGAATGGTCTTTGGAGCTGTAAATGTGTCTGTCTTAGGCAGGTGCCATAAACATTAGGTATTTTCTTGATTTGCTTAGGCAAATAGCTGGTGTGAGCTTGAGTTCAGCCTTAGGTCCCCAGCTACCAGCCATTTGTCCTGCTGCTCTTTGAGCTGTTGTGGATATTCTGGCCAAACATAAAAAAGACCATGCTGAATTTCAGGAAATTAAAAGTTTTATTTAAAAAAAAACAAAACAAAAGCAAAGCTTTATTACCTTCTTTCATGCCCTTCTCTACCCAGGGTATTATAGGAATGTGTTTCTGTAGGCCCCATTTTCAGGGCAGCCACCAGCAGAATGCCCCATTTCTCTCGTTGGCTCTTTGCAGTGTTGCCCACGCTGTTGGCTGCTCTGTTGAGCCCTTTATGTAACCTTGTCCTGCCCTGTGCTTGCTGTCACCTGGCAGCACTGGCCAGGCTTTCAAGTGTCTGCCTTAAAATTCCCCGTTCTCGTGCACACACAGCAGTTTGCAATGGCTGGCCCTCTCCATCACTCCTGAAGAACACACCTCCTAGGGAATTTTGTAGAGGGCAAGCATGAGTTTTATGTCAAATGGATTCAATGTGGGCAGAATTAAGCATGTAAAAACAAAATACTGCATGGTTGTAGAGTGGCAAAAAGCAGCCAAGAAGGGCTTAACACTTACTATAGGGAGTCTGAAAGATGCCTGTTATTACTCTTGATGTTTAGTTTTTGTGATTCAGCTCTTCAGCTTGCTCTAAGATTATGAAGTAAGAAAAAAGAAACTTGACCTTGACCTCAAGGGTACAGCTTGACCCCATTGTTACTTCTTTTCTTGTTCTCTCATAATACCTTCCTTATACTTAAGTAAAGTTTTAACAGCCAAATCACCTGACCCCACAGCAGAAGGGGGCTTAGCCTACTGAGTGCCACACAATTTTTATTCTTCTGAAGGGAAAAATATGCCTTCTGGTATGCAGCCAGCAAGTGAAGTCAGGTGGAATTTGCCTTCACTTGATTATAATCAGCTTTGTCCCTTTGTTGATGTCACCTCAGCTATATGCTAGTTGCCACCTTCTCGTCACTTTCTGTCATAAAGCTCAGCAGGGAAAATAAACTGAGGCCAAAACAACATATGGAAGTGTCTTGACAAGATTTGGCTGTTCATTTGAAGTGTTTCTCTTTTTTCTGTGGGTAGGAGATGAAGTCAGAGCTGTGTTGTTTCGTAGATAAGGATCACTATTTTTAGACCAGCGACAGTTCTTAGCCTCTGCATGTAATCTGCTCAGACAGAGCCACGCGAGGCAGTGGGGTTTGCATGAACTGTCTGTGGGGCTCAGTCACTGATGTTGAGTATAACTTGGGTTTTGGAGGTGTGAATGCTCAAAGCACTGAATTGTGTGGTAATTTAAAGTTCTCATGTTCGTCTGTGTAAAGATCTTTTAGGCATGGCAGATTTGTGATAAAAGCTTTTCATAAAACCAGTTGTTGGTCTGCTGATGTTTGATGCCAACTGGGGGAGATCCTGCTGTGCTGCTGACTGTAGCTGAAGTGCTCCTGAGTTGGAGAGTGCATGTATTGCAGCCAGAAATGTCTGCACATTCCCAGCAGCCAGGGACAGTGCATGTAGAGGGAATCTTGGTACATTTAAAGGTTATCAGGGCCCATTCTGAAAAACACCAGCTGAACCACGTGCGTTTGGTACTGCCAGTGGGAAGGTTTGCCTAGGATGTCATCCCTCAGCTATACATAGCAAACTCAAAGCTTCTTACAGAGAAACCTCTTACCAGTCACTTTCCACAAATGGTGCCTATACCTAAAGGTACTTAGAGAAAATCCTTGAGAGGTATTTAATGCAAAAGCAGTTAGTCTCTGGTGTTTTTCAGAAGCCCTCACACACCACTAGCAGGGAGAAGTGCAGTGCAGCTACAGCACAGCTCCTGGGCCAGTTACTCATTTTGTCTGAACCAGGCTCTGCCACCCCAAGGGCTTGCCAAGATGTGTGACCTGGGGGGGCTTGACAACCTGATTGCCAACACTGCCTACCTCCAGGCAAGGAAGAGTGGAGATGGAGACACCAAAGAAATGCAAAAGAGGCGTAAGAGCCTCTCGCTGCCCAAGATTGATGAGTGCAAAGAGCATAGAGAGTCCGTTGCTGGTGATTATGATAACATCTGTGAACAGCAGCCCATTGGCAAGAGATTCTTCAGAGACTTCTTAGAGACAGTGCCAGAATATTTGGTAGCTAGGGACTTCCTGGATGAGGTGTCGAACTGGGAGTTGGCAGATGACAATCTCAAGAACAGTACCTTGGAGAATATTGTCACCAATTTTCTTAAGGAAGGCGCCAAAAACTATCTGTCTTACATGAGCTCTGACTTGGTCAGCAAATGCAAAGAAGCTACTGCAAAAGACTACGAGAACATCATGCAGCTGGCCAAGGAGGAAACCAAAGTCTTCTTTAAAGACAAGCCCTTCCAGGATTTTCAGAACAGCCCCTTCTATGACAAATTCATCCAATGGAAAGTGTTTGAGAAGCAACCAGTAACTGAGAAATACTTCTCTGAGTTCCGAGTGCTGGGCAAAGGTGGCTTTGGAGAGGTAAGAGCTTGTACTTTTAAGGATGTGAATCATCTCTCCCCTTTCAAGACTAGCAGGTGGGTTTGCAAAGAGCAGTGGATTAAGCCATTGCATGAAGATTTGTAAAATGTTCCCCTTCAGATTGCCCATTTTCCAGAAATCAGGCTGGGTTATATATACTGTGATAAAGGCTCTTGTTAGTAAAAAGCTACTTTAATGCTTTTATATTCCTTATCTATGCTAGTAAAAAAGCAGGCTTCTTTACAAAATCTTACATTTATGTTCATGTAGTTAACAATTAGTCTGTTCCTTGACATCATCTTACGCTCTGCTATCTCACACACTCCCAGATAATTCCTAGCTGCAGTCTAGGGAAAAGCACACATCAGGATCTGTTCCCAAACTACAGTATGGAGGTTTTTTTGAGAGTCAAGAGAGTTTAACTGTAGAGGTGCAATCTGCATATGCTGCTTATTCTCATGATTACAGATTTTTGTTCTTGTTTCTTTTATTTGCTAATGCATGTCTACTAGTGGCATCCTCAATAACTTTGCCTCAGAGCCACCATATACTACTGGTCCAGAACAGAACTGATTGTGTGCTTGTTTTTTCCTTGTTTTCTGTGCTAATATTCTCATCATAGAAGTTAGCATCAGCAGCTACTAATAGGCATCAGTGATTCCCCAGTTCCTGCTGTTACTACCCTTGATATTCCAGTCTTTATGTAAAATTCCTTCGTTACCTTTCCATGTGCATCTTCTCTAGGTTTGTGCCATCCAGGTCAAAAATACTGGCAAGATGTATGCCTGCAAGAAACTGGATAAGAAAAGGTTGAAAAAGAAAAGTGGAGAGAAGATGGCACTGCTGGAGAAAGAGATCCTGGAGAAGGTCAACAGCCCTTTCATAGTCACACTAGCTTATGCCTACGAGACCAAAACCCATCTGTGTCTTGTTATGAGCCTCATGAATGGAGGGGATCTGAAGTATCACATCTACAATGTGGGAGAAAGGGGTTTGGAAATGAAAAGGATCATCTTTTACTCAGCTCAGATCACCTGTGGGATTCTGCATCTCCATTCCATCAACATTTTGTACCGCGATATGAAACCAGAGAATGTCCTCCTGGATGATAATGGGAATTGCAGACTGTCTGATCTTGGATTGGCAGTGAAAGTCAGAGAGGGAAAAAGCATCACACAGAGGGTGAGTACAAATTCTTTGAATTTGGGCAGTGGGAAGTGAAGCCATTCTATTTCTAAATGCCTTATTAGTCCAAGACTTAATTCCCCGGAATTGATTCTTTGCTAAAGACCTAATGTTGTCATTTCATTATGAGAGACAGGTCATAAGAAGATTTGATTTATTAACTCCTTAGCTGCTGCATGTGGTAAAATAACGTATTTTGCAGAATCTACTTGACTTTTCTCTCTTAAGATAAGCTCTTGAACCTCTGACTTTAGAGAGGCAGATGCTTTGTGCCTTACGGAATACTGCATAGTCAGGGATTTAACCAATTGTTTAATGAGCAGCAGTCAAAGATATGACTCCTCTGTATTCCACTTTTACTCTTAGGAGAATACAATTTCTTACACATTACTCTTAAGTGATGCTACTGGTTGTATTGCAGGTGT